ATCTACGGTATGTGCAAGCTTTCGTGTCCACGAGTGTCAGTGATCCCTCGTCGTTCGATCACTTCGAGCTACAATCCTTCAGACAACGGGGTCAACGCATCGTGTGCATAGTGCTCAGCCTACAACATGTGATGGTTTGGATTCATGAAACTATGTCTTTTATCTCGTGCCTCTCTTTTGTCTTGTGAGACTGCCACTGTCTCGTGCAACTGTCTTTTTTCTTTTCTCTTCCTCGTGACAATGTGCACTTCCGAATTCTTTTACTGCAGGGTCTGGTCCCACAAGCCCATGCTGGCTTTGACCGGACCCGTAATTCCATTGTTGATTCTACATGTGTGAATAAATGTATTATTATTATTATTATTATTATTATTATTATTATTATTATTATTACGGTGTTGCCTCTCGCTTAACCAGAGAGTTCAAAAACCCGACGGCTTTTATCACGTTATACTGCTCGCTATCCAGGTCACAGTTAGAATATGCCTCAGTTGTTTGGAATGGAATTTCTAAAAGTCACTCCTTGGAGATCGAACGTGTGCAAAAAAAGTTTGTTTCTATCTTTAAACATCGCTACATAAAGGAGGATGTTCACTGTTTAACATATGAGTCTGCGTTAGAGCGTGTTGGTTTGCTTAGCTTGCACCGGCGTCGGGAGAACGCGGACTTACTATTTTTGTTTAAAACGCTGCATGGACTCATCAATTCTCCGAGCCTGTTATCTGAACTGTGCCTTAGGGTCCCACGTGTGCCTACTCGTCTTCTGTCATCTTTTTATGTTTCTAGAATGTTTAGTCCGGTAAACCCAATTGTGAGAATGGCTCAGCGTTTGAATCATTACTCTGAAAAACTTGATATTTTCAACCCTTGCTACAGGACGTTTGTCCTTTCTATTAAAAACTTGCCCGTGCAGGATGAGCATTGCTGAATTGCTTTGTTATGTCTGAATGTCGTCATCTCCATGTCGTGTTTTCTGGTGGTGCACTTGTTGTCCTTCGGTCTTGTGTTCCGTCTCTACTGTTACTGCCTCGTTTTTATTTCATTGTACTAATTACTCGTGCACTGCCTAGTATTATGCTAAAAATGTATCTTATTTTCTGCGGAGATGTGTATAGTGTGTTTTTTTGTTTTTTGTTTTTTTTTTATCCACCAGTGTACCAGCACCAAGACCTCAGGGTTGTTCCTGGGCACTGTATAATAAAAATTGATTGATTGATTATTATTATTATTATTATTATTATTATTATTATTATTATTTTACCAAAACGTTCGCGGCCTGCGTACAAAAGCCGATTGCTTTTTCTCTAATGTTACCTTATCAGATTGCTCTATATTCTGTTTAACTGAAACATGGTTATGTTCTAGCATCGGCTCCTCCGATTACTTCCCTCCTTGTTTTGAGGTGCACCGTCGCGATCGTGATTCTACCCCGCGGAGCAGAACGGGAGGTGGAGTGTTGGTCGCAGTCGACAGGCGCTACCGCTCTAGGAGACGCGAAGACTTAGAGAAATTTCCCGAGAGCGTATGGGTCGAGATTGAGGCTGCAAAGGGAGTACGCGTTTTAATCGGTTTATTTTACCTCCCTCCCCAGACACCGCCAAATGAATTTTATAGTTGTCTTGTTGGCATAGAGAATACAGTGAATGACTTACAGGGATGCGAAGTCTTAATCTTGGGGGATTTTAATGCTCCTGGAGTCAACTGGCCGCAGCTTGATGTTTTTGCGGACAACTTTTACTGCAGGCAGAAAGGCACCCAGCTCTTAAACTTTTCTTCTTTCCTAAATCTCAAACAACACAATAATGTTCTGAATCACCAATTTAATGCTCTAGATTTATGCTTCTCAAATATGGACAGCGTGCGTGTAGCACGGGGTGAACTGCCATTAGTTCCTCAGGATACATATCATCCTGCACTTGATATAGTACTTTCTTTCGAGAATTCCTCTGTTCGTGCTAATTCTGGTGATTCCCCGCCGCACACCTCATATAATCTGTCGGCAGGGGACTATGTCGGGATGCATCATTACCTCACGAGTTTTGATTGGGCATTGATCTTGGAGTCGCCTGATGTGAATGACCAGGTCATGCTCTTCACGCAAACTGTTCGGAAGGCCATGGATACTTTTATTCCGTTAAGGACAGTTACTACATCTCGCTTTCCTAACTGGTTTTCCAGTGAGCTAAAAACACTACTGAAAAGAAAGGACTTCTTTCACAGGAAGTTTAAGAAAAGTGGCCTTTTAAAGTGGGAAGTAGAATTCAAGAACTGCAGAAAGCAATGCAAGACGGTCCTGGAACGCGACCGCCAGGCTCATCGTTGCTCAGTGGAATCAGATCTTGTCAATAATCCGAAGAAATTCTGGAGGTACATTAATTCACGTTCTGGGAGGCATATCGAGTCGAAGATTGTCCTGGATAATCACGAGAGCGATTTGAAGTCCGTTCCTGAGTTATTTGCTGAGCATTTTAGGTCCGTCTACAGGGATAGTACGCAGCGTTCTGCACCTGCGCTGCCTCACTTAGATGGGTTTGGTGACTTGTTAAGTTGCATTAATGTTGATGAGGAGTCCGTACGATCCTGTATTAAGAAAATGAGAGCAACATTGTCAGTAGGGCCCGACGGCATTCCCTCTGCGATTCTCAAAACGTATCACGACATATTCACGCCGGTACTGTGCTCTATATTTAACAACTCGTTAAGGTTGGGAACCTTTCCTGAAACGTGGAAAGTCGCTGCTGTTGTTCCAGTCTTAAAGTCGGGAAAAAAAGGTGATATTTGTAACTATAGACCTATTTCTCTTCTCTCTCCATTTTCTAAGCTCTTTGAAATGGTAGTTCATCAATTCCTGTCTTTCAAATTTCGAAACTTAGCAATTCCCAATCAGCACGGTTTTATGAGCGGCAGATCAACAACTACCAATCTTGTTAGCTTTATGTCTGCTGCATCTCGTGTAATATGTAACAGAGGTCAGTTAGACGTTGTCTACTTTGACTTAAGCAAGGCTTTTGACGTAGTCAATCACATTATTCTTTTATCCAAACTTTCCTCCTATGGAGTATGTGGCTCAGTACATGACTGGTTAAAAAGCTACTTGTCAGAGAGAGAGGCATATGTCCGGGTTAACAACATGAACTCTTCGTTGTACAGGACTCGCTCTGGCGTTCCTCAGGGATCTGTTTTAGGACCCCTTCTGTTCACAATTTTCGTAAATGACGTCTCTTTTGCTGTTTTAAATTCTTCATTCCTGCAATATGCTGACGACATAAAAATTTATCGAGAAATAGTTACTGAACGTGATTGTGCTAAGCTCCAGGAAGATGCATGTTCTTTCTACCGATGGTGCTCTGAAAATGACCTTTTCTTGAACCCGTCCAAAACCAAGGTCATGACGCTCTCTCGGAAGACTCACAATATCTCTTTTGCATATAATATTCAAGGAGAGACTTTGTCTCGAGTAAGTGTAATGAAAGATCTCGGAGTCATTGTTGATTCTGGGTTGCGTTTCTCTGATCACGTTGGTAGGCTGGTTAACTCGTCTTTGCGAATGTTGGGTGTTGCCTCTCGCTTAACCAGGGAGTTCAAAAACCCGACGGCTTTTATCACGTTATACTGCTCGCTATCCAGGTCACAGTTAGAATATGCCTCAGTTGTTTGGAATGGAATTTCTAAAAGTCACTCCTTGGAGATCGAGCGTGTGCAAAAAAAGTTTGTTTCTATCTTTAAACATCGCTACATAAAGGAGGATGTTCACTGTTTAACATATGAGTCTGCGTTAGAGCGTGTTGGTTTGCTTAGCTTGCACCGGCGTCGGGAGAACGCGGACTTACTATTTTTGTTTAAAACGCTGCATGGACTCATCAATTCTCCGAGCCTGTTATCTGAACTGTGCCTTAGGGTCCCACGTGTGCCTACTCGTCTTCTGTCATCTTTTTATGTTTCTAAAGCGTTTAGTCCGGTAAACCCAATTGTGAGAATGGCTCAGCGTTTGAATCATTACTCTGAAAAACTTGATATTTTCAACCCTTGCTACAGGACGTTTGTCCTTTCTATTAAAAACTTGCCTGTGCAGGATGAGCATCGTTGAATTGCTCTGTTATGTCTGAATGTCGTCATCTCCATGTCGTGTTTTCTGGTGGTACACTTGTTGCCCTTCGGTCTTGTGTTCCGTCTCTACTGTTACTGCCTCGTTTTTATATCATTGTGCTAATTACTTGTGCACTGCCTAGTATTATGCTAAAAATGTATCTTATTTTCTGCGGAGATGTGTATAGTGTTTTTTGTTTTTTTTTTATCCACCAGTGTACCAGCACCAAGACCTCAGGGTTGTTCCTGGGCACTGTATAATAAAGATTGATTGATTGATTGATTGATTATTATTATTATTATTATTATTATTATTATTATTATATTATTTATATATATTTATATATATTATATATATATATTTATTATATTATTATTATATTATTATTTTGGCAGTCGGCGGCCCGTCACCATCGCACAACTAACTTTGCCTTCCTCGGCAGGGTTGGCGGTTCTGCTGCTCAGGCATTGCTGCCGGGCGTGCATCATCGCTGCCGATCGCCGGCTGAAGACACTGACGCAGCACTCGTCGACCGGCGCCAAGCCATCGTGGTTGATCGCATCCGTCATCCGGGCAACTGGACTCGATGCCTATAACAGCTGATCCCACGGCTCTCTTCGGCTCAGTCGGCGGCCCGTCACCATCGCACAACTAACTTTGCCTTCCTCGGCAGGTGAGAATCTGTATCTTTAAGTCTTGCTAACGTCTATTCCTGCCGCCGACTGCAACAAGTGTATTCGCGAATTTTGTTTTCACTTTTGAACTTGCGTGTTTATTTAAATTGTGTTCTAAACTAGTCATGGCTGACAACGAGTGTATTGTATGTTTCAAACTTGTACCGAGTGATGGAGTGTTTATGAATTGCTCTTCATGTTCTCATGTTTACCATCTTGACGCGTGCTCCGGCATATCCGAGAGAACTTTCAAGTCAATGGGAACCGCAAAGCGCGAGAAATGGAACTGCCGCACATGCAGAACTCGCGAAAGTAGGTTAAGCCTTGAAGCAGGAGTCGAGGCAGCATCGCCACCCGACGAAGGTTCAGTTTCCACGCAACTAGGACAAATAAACAGAAAACTTGAGCTGCTGTACACCTTGAAGGCCAATGTAGATCGGCTCTGCGACCTTCCCGCTAAAGTGGATGACCTTCTTTCTTTGAAGCCATCCGTAGAGGCGATGAAAGAAACGATAAAGGGCCTACAAGAATCGGTGAAGAAGTATGAATCAATGATGGAACTCGTCACTGCAAACGATAAGGAGGTGACGTTACTTCGAACCGAAGTCGGTGTACTTCAGAATACGGTGACAGATCAAACCGCCATGATTGAACAGCTCCATGCGAACATCAATTCAACCGAACAATACAGTAGAAGATGCAATATGGAGATTCACGGTATTCCGCTCACAAGAAGCGAAGATCTGAGGGCCACCATGCAGGACCTCGCAGAAAAACTGGGTATTGGGAGCCATACCCCTGCCGATGTGGTAGCCTGCCACCGCCTGCGATCGCGGCGCGAAGGGGAAGCCCCGATTCTGGTTCAATTCACTTCAGTCTCAGTAAAAGAACAATGGATGGGTGCTCGCAAGAAGTTAGTCACTCTCCCTCGATCCGAAAACCAACATAAAATATACCTTAACGACAACCTAACTCGGTCAAACAAAGAACTCTTCTGGCAAGCTCGAACCAAGGGCAGAGAAAAATCTTACCGATTTGTATGGGTTAAGAACGGTACCATTTTTGCTAAGAAGGACGAGAGCTCTTCACCGGTGCGTATCGCTAACACTAGGGATCTAGAAAGAATTAGTTAGGAATGGAGAGTACTGTAATACATTCTGATTTTTCTTCGTTTATCGACACTTTTCCTCCTAGTGCTGGCGCGCTTACGGTCCTTCACGTGAATATCAGAAGCATTAAAAAATATTGGGACGAATTCCAGCTCATTGTTGGTGCACTTGAGACCGCAGTCGATGTTTTCGTTCTAACAGAAATAAACGTTCGGGACGTGGGAGTCGCGCAAGGCCAATTTTCTTTACCTGGTTTTGAGACTTTTTTTCTAACTCGTAACGATTCTAGAGGTGGGGGAATAGCAGTTTATGTTAAAAATACATGGTCAACCGTTACATTGCAAATCCCATTCAACTATGCAGAGTGTCTCTCTTTAAAACTCTGTAAAAAGAGCTTTGTAGTATCTCTTTTAACACTTTATAGACCGCCCTCAGAAAGCGTACGTAATTTTTTAGACGAGTTAGACACGAACTTAAAAAATATAGTGCCTACGGATAAACTCTGTATTGTAGGTGACATCAACATCGACCTTCTTAAACCTTCGAAATCGATTGTTTGTGATTACTTAAATATCCTTTCAAACTATGGTATTGAAAGTACAATTCAGGCACCTACCAGGGAGGAGTATTTGTCCGATAATTTAGTTATCTCCTGTTTAGATCACATCAATATTAGAAACTTGGGTGCTCCTAATAGATCCACCGTTATCACACAAAAGTTGGCAGACCACTATTTTGTTGCCTGTCGTCTCAGCATTGATGTCATTTCTGAACCAGTAGAGCAATCACAAGTAACAGTAATTGATTCACGTCACCTCGATAAACTAATTTCTGCCTATAACTGGGATATGCTCATTGAAACTTGCAACTATCAGGATGCCTACTCAGAGCTGGTCGATATTCTTTCAAACTTTAAAACCATGAGCACAAAAACCATTCATATAAAAAGACGAAGAAAGAATCGGCCATGGGTAACTACTGACGTCCTTTCCGCCATTAAAGAGAAAGACGTTTTATTGGCACGCTGTCGTCGTTTTCCAGATAACAAAGAATTAAGATTGCAATATCAAAGTCAAAGGAATCGTGTCAATGCCCTTATCCGTTCCAGAAAACGTCAGCATTTCCACGAAAGGTTTTACCGCTCTCGTTTTGACGCTTCTAAGACTTGGGCCCTCGTAAATGAGGTGAAAGGATGCTCTGCTGCTTCTATTGATGACACAATAAAAAAACATTTCAAATCTGATGTGACATCGATTGCTGACAGTTTTAATCGCTTTTTCGCTTCAGTTTCGGGCGTATCGCATGATGAAGCCATTTCACCCATTAATCTGCAACTTTCATGTTCAGCATCTGCATTTCTGCCTAATATGACTATGGAAGACCTCCGTGCGATATTCTTTAATTTCAAGCCGAATAAAGCACCCGGCTCTGACAGTATCCGCGTTGGCGATATTCGGCGCAATTTTGAGGTCTTGGGCAATGTTTTACTATATATACTGAACGGGTGTATCAGCTCCGGAGTTATCCCTGTTGGTTTCAAAAATGCGATCGTTAGGCCACTTTTCAAGGGCGGTAGGCGTGATGACGTCAAAAGCTATAGGCCCATATCTATTCTTTCGTGTCTGTCCTTAGCACTTGAAAAGCATATATTAAATACAATGACCGCGTTTCTTGATAAGTTTAGTTTGTTGTCACCGTCCCAATACGGCTTTATCACGGGGCGTGGCACCCAATCGCTCCTTGAGGACCTCGTGGACACATTAAACACAACTCTCGACAAAAATAAGTTTGCCTGCGCGCTCTTTTTAGACGTCTCCAAAGCATTCGACTCTATTAGTCATAAAATACTACTGAAAAAAATTTACGACTATGGTTTTAGGGGACCATTTTTTCATATTCTTAAAGATTTTTTATCTTGTCGTACGCAATATGTTTCACTTAGTAATGCCCGTAGTATTCGCGTCCTTTTGAAAGCCGGAGTACCTCAAGGATCTGTGTTGGCACCATTATTGTTCAATCTATACGTGAATGACCTCGCTAAAAGTGTTGCTGGATGTGAAATCTACCAGTACGCGGACGATACGTTATTACTCTCACGCCATATAGATCTATCAAATGCAATTTCTTTATTACAAGACAATGCCACTCGGGTATTAGACTGGTTTGAAGCAAACTGTATTAAAGTGAACATTCACAAGACACAACTAATGCGTTTCAACAATCCCTTAAAGCGGAAATGCCCAGTCATTCCTTTCGTGTTCCATTCGTCCAAGTGCGCCCAGTGCACATGTACTCCGCTCGAGTTTAATCAAACAATTAAGTATCTAGGAATTTATTTTGATAGTGATTTATCTTGGGACTCCCATCTCAGTTACATTGCCAAAAGATTGCGAGGTGTCTCATGCATGTTATATTCTACAAAGACGTTTCTACCTTTTCCAATTCGAAAGATGATAGTCAACGCGCTTGCTTACGGTTTATTGCGCTATGGAATTACTGTTTATGCCAACTGTTCTTTGCTCTGGCACAGCAAGATTGATACGATTTTAAAAAGTATACTGAAGGGCGTGGCGTACACCTCTTTGTCGACGCCAAGTGATGAGTTGTTTGAGTCTTTATGCCTACCTCGTTTTTCAGCCCTCTTTAAGAGAAGTGTAATTAGCAAACATTACTGGTTAAGTTCATTTAAGATACCCCGTGTTCTAGAACGCAATCTGAGAGAAGGTGAACGTTTCGTCATTCCGCGCGTCTATACGAAGTATGGAAAACGTCATCGCTCATTTTATGTTCCTGATCTGTTTAATAGCTTATCAGATTTGTTTTCAGATATTGATTCAAAGCGACAGTTAAAAAAAGCTTTAAGGACAATATGCTAAAGCGATATTTCCTGTGTCATGAGTTTAAATCTTCTCGTCCCATTTTTTTCAGCTTCCTTCGTTCGTCTCTTCTGTAGATAATGAACCAACAAATTCAGAACTTAGTTTTACTTTGTTTTTTCTTGCTAAAGTTAGACAGTTCCTTGGTGCTTTCAATGGCTTTTCATCAGTTGTTGTTAGAACCTGCAACTTCGGCATCGGGTTTCTTTTGGGGTGTCCTTTGTGGTTCTCTCTCATTGGTGGTTATGTGACAATATCCTGCATGTGTTTTTGATCAGTTCTGTTTCATTTTCTCCAATAACTGGAATGTTTTGAACTGTGCCACTTTGGGTATTAGACTGTGCTTTATAATATTTCTGTTATTTTACGCCGCTGCCGGGTCCAGTCCCACAAGCCGCTATTGGCTTTTGACGAACCCGCATTCACATGTATTGAATTGAAAGCTGCAATAAATTGATTGATTGATTATTATTATTATTATTATTATTATTATTATTATTATTATTATTATTATTATTATTATTATTATTATTATACATCATCATCATCAAGAAGTCCCCAGGAACCGTCGCTCCTTTTTACTGCTCTGCGAGTTTTCGCTCGTAATCGCTTTCAATCGGAACATCCGACGCCAACGAGCTTTTTGTGACTCGGACGATTCCTCTGCGTCGTGGTGGACACCGACTTTGCTCGAGATCGGGTCCCCAACGTCTTCGCTGACAGCATTCCAACGGGTAGGCCTAAGTGACCTTGCGTCTTCGCCCGGCCCGGCTCCTAGAACGCCCGTTGAGCGCGAGCTTGCCTGGCACGACGATCTCCACGGTGAGCAAAGCATCTCGCGCAAGCCTGCCCAACACATCAAGGCGACGCACGTGACACGGGAGTACAGCACTTCACATCTTTCCCTTCTGCGTGTGTGCTATGTCTTCTCCACTCAAGTGCGCTCAATGCCACGAGAAGATTGTGAACGATGGTCGGCACATGTCCTGCGCCGAGTGCAGAACATCGTATCATCTGGGGAAGCTTTGCTCCGGTGTTGCGGAAAACACATTCAATGCCATGGCTGTTGGAAAACGAGAGGTCTGGCGCTGCCGTGTGTGCCGACAGCGACACAGCGGGAATGGGTCTCGAAGTGAAGCCAGCTCGTCACAATGCGCGTCTCCTGCTGGTACGGAACATCTTCGGTCGCTGGAAGCTAAACTGGAGTGTCTCACCTTGCTGAAGGCCAATGTTGACACCCTCCTCGACTTGCCAACGCAGATGAATCAACTCCTGACATTGAAGCCGGTAGTCGAGAGCCTGAAATCCGCAGTAACGGAGGTTCAGAAGGCCGTAGACTTTCTGTCGGCTCGGTACGACTCTCTGCTGTCTACAGCCACTACCAACTCAACAGCGATAACAGAGCTCCGTGAGGAAACGACATTGCTAAGAAGCGTGGTAACAGAGCAGTCTCAGACCATCGAGCACCTGAAAGAAGAGCTGAACGATAGCGACCAGTACAGTCGTCTCTCAAACCTTGAGATACATGGACTCCCTCATGCCCCAAGTGAAAACTTAGTCTCCGTTGTGGGCGAGTTGGCTGGCAAGCTAGGCCTTGAAAACTTTCAGCCAAGGGACATACTGGCGGTGCATCGTCTGCCATCGCGGCGCGACGGCCCTCCAGTTATCTTGGTTAAATTGGCTTCAGTGTCGCTAAGAGAACAATGGCTCGCCACGCGAGGTAAGCTGAGAACTCTGGCAGCAGAGGGTTCGTTGCCCAAACTCTTCCTCAACGAGAACCTAACGCGAAAGAACAGGGAACTCTTTTGGATGGTACGGGAGAAAGCAAGAAGCAAGCAGTACCAATTCACTTGGGTGAAAAATGGGAAGCTATTTGCAAAAAAGTCAGGAACCTCGTCACTGGTTCGCATCCACCGGTTGGCCGACCTGGATTTGATTGTGTAACTCTTTTTGTTGCTAAGCGGCTTAAAACTACCAGTGGATAACAACCGCATCGAATAATGGAAGTACAGTTTCGTCAATGTTCAGATTTTTCTTCATTTCAACGTTTCTCGGAACCGGCTAGTGATAGTACTCTTGGGC